CGGCTGCGTCCTCATGGCGCCGGGAACCGCGCAGCGGGAACAGCGGGACGGGGCCTCAGGCGGGACCGGGCCCCAGCGCCGCCTCCCGCTCCCTGCACCACTGTGGGTCAGGGGCTTTCCTCCGGGCCGAGGGGCCCCTCGTGGCCGTGCCGTTTAACGGTGGAACAGCTACACCGTGGATTTGGTCCATTGGAGGGGCTGGAGCACAAGTCCTATGAGAAGCAGCTGAGGGTGCTGGGGTTGTTTAACCTGGAGAAAAGGAGGCTCAGCGGGGATCTTAACACTCTCCACAACCACGTGAAAGGAGGTTGTAGCCGGGTGGGAGTCAGGCTCTTCTCCCAGGTAACCTGCGACAGGACAAGAGGACGCAGCCTCAAGATGCGCCAGGGGAGGTTTAGGTTGGACACTAGGGATTTCTTCACAAAAAGGGTGATTAGACATTGGAATGGGCTGTCCAGGGAGGTGGCAGAGTCACCATCCTTGGAGGTGTTTAAGGAAAGAAATTTTTAAAACAACTTATCATTTCAGGATAGGAGAAACCTTAATCTAAAAAAAAAAAAAAAAAAAAAAAAAAAAAAAAGGTAAAATGTTCTTGGGACAGGAAGTGTAGTAAGCAAAATAGTGTTTCTGTGAGTGGACTATATTTTGTGTACACATGAGTGTGTTGGACATTCTTGGGCTCAAAACTTATGTAATGAAGAAGTGAGAGTGTGTGGTACTAGTGCAGACTCAAATAAAATGAATTCTTGGCCAGATCTGAAATGGATTGCATTACACTCAGGGAGGAAGGTTGGAGCCCCAGCTGCCTTGGTGGGCCAGGGGGTCGATTCTGCAGGAGGTGCCTCAGTGCAGCACGGTTTCATGGTATAAAAGGAAGAGTTCTGCTTTCTCTCTTTGCAGAACAATGCCTCTGGGTGCAGGCTGAGCATATTCCATTTCTTGTAGATGGGCCTATGGAATAGCTATTGAATGGTCAATACAAGCATAAAATACACTTGTCATTTTTTATGTGTGACTTTATGGAAGAACCTCAGTAAAAATCATGCTTTGAATTCCTAAAGAGGATAAAGAGATTGGGGCTATACTTTAATTTCTGACTCCTAGCCCCCTTGTGTAACTCTGTCCTGTTGGCTCAAAAATGCTGATATATATTAGCACAGACACAGAGATTCCAGAATAAAAGTGACACAGGGAATCTAGTTTGGCAGGTTACCCTTTGCAAATGCAAATAAACCTTTACAAAATTATTTGGCTGTTAGGATGCAATTGGTTTAGTATTTAAAATAATGTCAGCTTTTGATGAATTGTAATTGTTACTGGAAAATAAGATCCACAACCAAAGAACAGTCAGATTTGATTTCCTGAGCTAAGGGCGAGGCTGTGCAATTTAACTGTAGAAGTTGTCTTTCCTTCTTTCCTTCTTAAAATTGATTACATTATTGTTTGCTATTGTGCTTTAGATGATGCATAAGATACACAAACTGCATTTCAGGTACTATTAAAAAAAAATCCTGATGAAGGATAGAAAAAATCAACATTTAGAAGGAGCAATAAAAGTATTAAAGAACTATCCAGCCAGTATTTTAGTTCCTTCTAGCAAAGGGGCTGAATACTCAGGAAACAACTCCCAACAGCCTATCTTCTATCCCCACAGTTCATTTAGGAAAGACACAGTAGGAAGGAATTAAATCACACCTTAAAGTCAAAGGGTGAATTAAAGCACTTCCAGATTGTTCTGTTTATTCTCATGAGACTTCTCTCTTGCACACAAATTCCTTTCCAGAGTAGTTAAAGTGATCCATCCTGTCTACAGTGTATTTTAAATAGCAGCATATCAGAGAAAGGAAGGAGAAGAGGCATTTTGTATACCTGTCTTCATGTGTATCTTTCTACCAACAGTTGAATGCTTTCTTCCTCGTTCATCTTTTCAATTCAAAATACAAGACAGGACCACCAATACAGAAACAGATTTTGTTATTCCTGGAGTAATCAACAATATTGGCATGCTAACAATGCCTAAAAGTCTTCCTGAGTAACTGTATGAGAACACATCTTCACTTGTTAATCAACTCTCTAAGCTGCCAAAGCGTCTTGGATACAGCTTGAAAAGCACTTAAGAAACACCAAAAATATCGTTGCATGAATGGCTTCATAAGTGCTGTATACTGAGTGGGTTAGAAATAAACATGGTCATTGCTGAATTCTTTAACTACCATGCATAATCACATTAGTGTAAATTAATGTTAGTCCACTCTCTTGAGTGTTAGGTTCCTTGAGTTTCAGATGCCACCAGAAGAGACAGAGCTTTGGCCCGATTAGCTTTATGGTGAAACTCCAACAGGGACATACTGGCACAGAAAAGCAGCATACAGTATGGCTATTTGCATACGTATCTTTGGATAGACTCTCCTTCTGACAAGGAAACTCTTTCCTGATCACTCAGAAACACTTTTTCCTCCAAAAACTATTTGAAGCAAAATAATATTCTCATTTGTCCTTTTTTTCTTGCTCTTTTTTTTCAGACAGTTTTGTTGTGTGTGTGTGGTTTTTTTTAAATCCATTTGTAATTTTAAAATATCTAAGCATATGTTCTGTGTAGAAATATTCAGTCTGTGCATTGCTCAGGAACTCCACTGTGAACTTTAATTTGAGCACTCAGTGTTTTTAATTTGAGCTATGCAATTGCACATCAGATGCAAATGGAACTATTTCCGTTCCCTGGCTCCATGACTTGATTTATGCCTTATGGTTCTGTTTTCATCCAGAATCAATTTCATTAGAATCTTTACCTATGCAGATAAAATTGCAGGAGGAAGTGCTTTATGTTTAAGCTACAATTTTGAAATCCAGCTTCTGAAAGAATATTCAATAATTGTGAGATGATTAGAAAGCTTTTGTCCAGGAAGTGGGAGATTCAGGTTTTCTTCATCTCCCTCCAGGGATTTAAACTCCTGCCCAGACTATGGCTATTAGGAGTAGAGGGGAGTGTTTATTTCCTTTGGCTGAAGTTATTTTTCTTTGTTTACAGGCATTAAAGATTCACCACAAGAGGAAGGGAGAAAAAACAGGATCTGATGGATTTAATGAGAGTGTGATATTCAGGATGGTGGGTGGTCCGTGTTATAGTCCTGCTCCAGGAACAAGGCAAATGTGCAGAACAGCAATCAGGTGTAAAAGCATAAAAATGCACTTGTGAAGGGACTAAAAATCTGTTGTCCCTCTTGCCCACCTAAATTTCCAGCCATTGGGAGAGTCACTTCTTTCCAGTCTTTCCCTTTAGAAACAAAATTCAGAAATTTAATAAGGAATCTCTTAGTCTCATATGCATACTTTCATATGGTAATATACTTTCAGTGGCACAGCTTCACACATTTGTCTGTATCCTGAGTTCCATGTCATTCATTTCCTCATGTTCATGTATGTTTCTAACACTCAGTGAGCTCTTTCAAGGGCTTTCTATCCCAGTGCCTACAAAGTTTCTCTTTTGCCTGACTCTTTGTTTCCTTTTAAGTATGTTGCACATCCTCAAAGTGTCTTGTTATTTATCCCGTCTCCTGGTTTATGCTGAAAGCTTTTAAATACGTTTTAATGATGCATAACAGCAATATAATGAGCCTAATAGCATGCTATTGATTTTCATTTGAAACACTGACATTTGAACATTTCAATAGCCTTTTAACAGTGTGTATATTTAATGTGATTCAAAGACAAGGGAAATGCAACGCGTCTCTTCTAAAAATGTCACATTCTCTATTTCCTGACCCTCTTTCCTCCTCTCCTGCAATCTTTTTGGCAATCATCCACATTGGAAGTATATAATTTTCAGTGTTTTTAAAAAAATAATAATGCTACTAATAATTATATTTTCTCATTCCATAATACTTGTTATGAGAAAATAAAAGGGAAAACCACAAATTTTCAGTATCCAGACACAGCTTTGCTTATCTGCTCTGATCACAATGAAGATATTAATGTTCCACATCCAGTGAGTGCTGCCAGAGAATGCAATGAGTTAGCTCTGAACTGACCAAGGATGCCCTCTAGACAGTTCTCACGCTCACTTGTTGCACTAAGAAACACAAAAAGATAAATGCCATAAGCAAACATACACATCAGCATAAGATAGCAGTTCCCTTTTGATGAATAACTCAGTAGTTAAATCATATGAAGG